AAATTTTACTCTGTGATAGGTTAGACTTTGTGGTTTATAACACAATTTATTTTTTAGTCATATCTTTTCCAGTTTTCTTTTTATAGTCGTTTGAAAATGGTATTGTTTCAAGTAAAATCTACATGTATAACGTCATGACTTTTGAAGTTATATATACGCATGTATATTGTAACAGTATGACGTTAACGTTAGATAAATGAAGTTTATTATATCTACATTATCAGAAGGGTGTCCGTTAAAATAAACCCTACCTAAGAATTTGGGAAATTTTATCAAAGGACCGTTAGGAAGTTTTGAATCATGAGATAAATAGAATGTCGTGTAGCTATCTAGTTTTTGCTTTGATTAAAAAAAGTGTCAAATACTGTTATATTGTCCTGTTAAATAAAAAACAATTTTTTTTAAAAATGATACATTAAGAGAAAAATGGGGGAAATCATTCACGGTGTAAATATTACCTGTATCCACAGTATTGATTAATCCGTAAAGTCACGAAAAAGAGAATATTAAGTGTTCAATTTTATTGGGGGTGGGGGTAAAATCATAGTATAGCTATATTAGTATTATTAGTATACTAATATATATACTAGAATATTAGTATAGCTAATAGAAGGCTGTTTTAATGACGGTTGCAACTTGTGCGATTATTCAAAACACAAGGATCGTGCGTAATTAACATTATCACGTGTATATACATGAATTTGTTGCGTATCATGCTTAATTGTATGGACATTATGTTTAAAATTATCCCTCGGACTTGCTGTACATATGGAAGGATATAATTTTGCCGACATACCTTCACACGTTTTTTATCGTTAAGTGTTATCCCTTCGGTAGAAGCTCTAGGGTAGTGTACATTGCTATATGCATATTGGAAATTCATTCGAGATTCATAGTCAAAGACATTTGACGGCACTTGTTTGGATAAACTGTAAATCAATTACCAAATCTATAACCACTTTATTTAAACCATTTTAAATGCCAACAGATGAACAGGCGCGGATCCAGAATTTTTTCCACTCAAAAAATATACAAGCCAGAAATCTCTTCTCATGCAAAAAAAAAAAGCAAACAAACAAAACAAATCAACAGCAAACCCGCAAATAAACAAAATAAACCCGTATAAACTCCTTTCCCATGTTTCGGATTGTTTCCCCCATCTGCTATAGACAAGGTCTAGAGTCGGCATGCACAGCTCTTTCTCTCAGAATGGGAGAATATGGGCATCGTGGTCGTGGTTTGCAATGATGATTGTGTTTCCCATACAAATAAAACCATGACTTTTTACACAAACTCAACACAGATTCCAGGGTTTATACAAACTCAACACAGATTCCAGGGTTTTAGTGTCATCTAGGAGGGATCCAAGGTCACTTTTACTTAGTTTAGTATAGGTATTCAAAACTCCGCAAATCCCAGTCTCTTCATTTAGATCCGCGCATTGATGAATACCGGGTACACAGACAAAGGAGGTAACGTTTATAATTTACCAATTCATCGAATTCCTATCAAATCGCTATCATCTCGGGGAAAGAGAGAAAAAATGTGAAAATAACACATCCTAAATACCAAGCAAGCATATCTTAAAATTATGATCAATGAAGGCGACGAAATTACATGCACGAGATAATTCCGATATTCTGGGACACCCCATGTATTAAATAACTGCTGTCATTTTATATAATGTTTGATACCCCTTTTGATTAAAACCTGTAATATGTAAGTCCGTTCAAGTGTAGATTAAGGCCAGTCATATGTTCTGCAGTTTAAGATCTATATTATATTTCTTAACAATAAAGAAGAAGATTAAAGATCACCCCCGCTGTTGTGATATGGAACGCTTTGGACCATACAACAATTACAAAATCAATGTTGCTGATCAGCTGGGGATATTTTTACATTTATAGAATAAAGAAAGTAAATTACCCTACCCTGTTGATTCATGTTTGTATTTATGAATGAACCCCCCCCCCTTCCAAACACTATCGAATAGATTTATTTCACTTCGTCAGTTTTTTCACTGGTAATTTATTTTTCGATTGTGTATGTAGGTATAATTTCTTTAGATTCATCTACCTCCAACTAACTGACGACCTGTAGTAAAGATTACCTACAGGTAATACCTACAGGTAAATATTTAAAGCACATTGCGAAGGGGGCGTCGCGAATTTTTTTTTAAATACTGAATTCAAAGACACGCCAATGCAAGGACATATTTCTATTTTATATTTTTACCAAATGGAATCATAATTGTTTGAAGTATATATTGATGAAAATATCACTATACAGTATACATATGTACATACATCGATGTCCTCAGTGCGAAGCTACGCACAGCATCATTAACATAGGGGATTGTCTTCCGCATCATTAAATGTAAAATAATTTTTTTTTTAAATTTAAATCTTTTTAAAGCTATATAGTTTATGTATATATGTGTGGTACGTCTTTTTTAAACGTGGTTTTTCTTTGCTGAAAGTGTCAGGATCTTTATTTTAACACTTTTTAAGTGTATTTAAAGAAGATTAAATTTAAAAAAAAAATCATTTTACATCTAATAATCCGGAAGACAAGCCCCTATGATCATAAATAGGATTTTTGCTTTTGAAGCAGTATGAAAATTTACTTTTTCTACACCTGCATAAAATTATTTCGGAAGATTTTGTTTAAAAGTAAAGTAGATCGCTGGCTGATATACGTATGTAAATTGCGGCTATAATATATAACATCTCTCGTAATATTATAAGGAACTTGAAATTGAAATATACTCATCCAAGTTCAAGAGTTTGTTTCGTAGAATTGCAGACAATAGATGTTTATATCCTTCAATCTCGTACATTATTTCTTTTTTTATTAATATTTTAGCAGCAATCTAGCACAATATTATTTTGCTTGTATAACGAAGGGCAGACGTGATTATGATATTCCATGTTTTCACAGTGATATGGATCAAGAAAAAGGGGGGAGGTCCATTTTTTCAATTTGTTAATTACAACGAAGATAGTGTACAGCTTTAAAACAGAAACTGGCGATTGAAAGGGGTTGAAATTGGAGATAATAGAAATAGACCTCTGTTTATACATGTAATTTAATGATAAGTGATTTATCTTGAAAAAAATCAATTACCATCTAAAATAATAACAGTCTCTATGACGTCACAATTGACGTATTTGTATTACTTTTAACGTCATGTTCAAAGACTGACGAAGAGAAATGTAACAAATTATGTTTTTTTTTTGAGTTTTGAATTCAGATAATATAAATCGAAGATCATGCCTCTCCACAAATTTGGTTTCAAACGAACTACTGATTATTTTTGTAATATATTGTGTGTTATTTTTATACAACTATTGTTATATAAACCAAATATTACCGAATGTTTAACAAAACTGGTGAATCTTTGCGACATCAAAATTTAAATGTAAAGGCATATTTCATATTGGCCACACGTATGAACAACGATTATATTAAGCGTGTAGATTTGTATCAGCAATATCTATACATATGGTAAGTATGAAAGTTGTTCTTTACTGTGGCCACACTTAATTTTGGGAAAATCAGTCGAAAAATCGGCATTTTTTAACGTTTTTATGAAACCGTCGCATCTTCAAACCATCGCACGTGCCTAACAGCGCATTATTTAATAAAATGAGTTACGTGAGGAAAAGAAGTATGTTGTCCTCTAATAATTAACGTATAATACCTGCCATGAATAGAAACTCGATTTTTGTGAAAAACACAGGGCCAAATATGATGGTTCGTGGCTTTACCTCTTTCTTAACACAAAGATGCTTTGCAACGAGTTTAGTTGTAACTTGGTTGGTCCAAGAAGATTTCGAAAATTTGAGAAGCTTACTGTTGTCGAACAACTTATGACATGGAAGCCTATGGCTCAGTGAGTGAAATAAAAATAATGGGAACTGTTTGAGTTCATTATATTTCATTAAAGATCAATTTTGAACTTGAGCCAGCCATGAAATTAGAATATTGGTGAACAAGATGTGATTGTGAACTACTGATGCCCCTATATGGCAACATAGCAAAGATGAAACTTTTCTCAAATGCAAATTTATTAAATATGTTGGTACCCAGAGTAAGGTCTTCTCACAAGTAATACAATTATGAAATATGAAAGCCCTATTGCCATCTGTTCAAAAGTTATGGCCAAGGTTAAAATTTTTAAAAGTGGGTCAAACTCCAAAGTCAAGTTCAAAGGCTCAAAGTTGTTGGTATCCAACGAAAGGTTTTGTCACAAGGATTAAAAATGTGAAGTATGAAAGCCATAGCCCTAACCCTTTAAAAGTTATGGTCAATGTTTGTTTTTATACATTAGGTCAAGGTCAAAAGGTCAAAGTTGTTGGTATCCAATGAAAGGTCTTGTCATAAAGAACAAATATGTGAAGTATGAAATTCCTAGTATCTATGGTTCAAAAGTTAGGGCCAAAGAAAAAGTTTGGAATTTTTGTGTAAAAGTGTGTCAAACTCTGAGGTCAAGGTCAAAAGGTCAAATTTGGTGGTACCAAAAGAAAGGTCTTATCACAAGGAATACATATGTGAAATATGAAAGTCATAGCTCCACTATATCAAAAGATATGGGCAAGCTAGGTTAAAGTTTTTGCAGACAAACAGCTAGACAGACGGACCGACACAACAAAAACTATGTACACCTGAATCTTCGATTACGGGGGGCAAAAAAAAGTTTTACTAATGACAGAACAAGGTAAGTGTACATTGATTTACATATCAATAACATCATAATTTATTGGTAAATTTGCATTTTGTCAAAAAAAAAAAGGATTCCCATTAAAACCCATGAAAATTAATGAAAACCAGTGGTCTCTCGTTATTGCCTGGACAAAGACAAACATGACAAAAATAAAATTTCCCCCTGTGAAGGAAAGACACAAGCATCCTTTTCTCTTATTATTCGCTGCACTAAAGCTTATCTGACAAAATTCAATCCATACAATTAATATATTCCACTTGACGACGGCTGTTACCTGAAGGCCAGTTCCTATATACGGACTCTGTTATATCTCCCGCGGAGTCATTAGGGGAGAACAGGTACTCCTTTGTTTTTCCACTCACCAAAATCAAACGTAAATTGATCTGCAAAAGAGTGAAAAAATATTAGAAATATATAGCCAGTGCATCCTATTTCAAATTTGACAATTTAATCTCTACAATTTTTGTAAAGTCTTGTGACATTTTAACTCTACTTTATGTCTATATGATAAATTTACTAATTTTATCCTCAAGGAACCTATTGCTTAAACATTCCTTCGAAGTTTAAAAAAACAAATATTTGAAATCTTTGGTGTTATCTCAGACAGAAAACAAGTTCCATAATTAAGCTAGTGTGCTGTAGATCAAAAATCCTTTATCATCATTCTACTTTCTTATAACAATTGAAAATTTGAGTGTTAAACTTGGACTAGTGTCCTGACCTGACACAAGCAGTAAAACAATAAAAACATTGCTTCAAGATATGTAGATGTTTTAGTAGGTCCCTCAAGTTGGGGGCCATATATCTGATACAATTACTTGTCCTTAGTACATGTTTAATGGTGTCTTTGACACAAGATATGTATTGAATCATTTGGAATATAACAGCATGTTTTCTTCCCAAATTATTACCGGTAATATTTACTTTTTTCCCCTTTGAGTGCATGGAACAAATAAATATGATATACATATGTCACTGTTTCAGCTCTCCCATGATATATTTATTTTTTCCCCCAATCAAATGCACTGTCCTTAATCTATATTTTCATCTCCTGATACAACCATCTACAGAAAGTAAATATTTTGAGAGATATATATTTGATCTAGAAGACAAACACAAAAAAGATTTCCCTCTGAGATTAATGACATCTCATTTGTTTTTGAGATGTAGATCATATCATAAATATTACCTTTTAACCACAGAAAAAAATTATTAACTTGTCATCCTATATATTTTGATTAGAAAAGCTTCCTAAGCCTTTGGATCAGAAAAAAATTAATAAATATATACTATGTATCTCTTTGTTTTACTTCCTCCGCAATCAAGCACCCTTTATACACATAAAACATATTTCACTGGAATGTGGCACCTCACATAATGGGACAGGCAGTGTAGCAAACCATTCCATGTCTAACTTGTTCAAGAACATAAATAATTAGTTCAAAGCACAAAAATAACTGACAATACTGTATATCTGATGATTGGTCTTACACAAAAAGACTGAACAAAATCAATATTTACTATAGCAGTCCTGTTCATCTCTTCATTACAAAAAATAATGTAGGTTTAACATGAACACATCTGTTTTAGTGAGTAGCATGAGTGGTTGTAATAAGAGAAGAATGATGAAATTAAAGCCTCACAGTTATATAAACTATACAGAGTTAAATACTACCTAGTGACAATCTATCTCCAGCATCTACTGTCTGTTGCCATGGAATTTTACATCATCACTCTACAAATCCATCCTCAGATAATGACGATACTTTATTTGTTTACAAATGCCCTCTGAGAAAATCCATTGAAAAATGCATCAATTCAAAAATTTAACACCACAGTTGAACATTAAATTTTAAACACATGGGTAAATGAGTGATAATTTATAAAGGATTCTCCCTCTCTTCACATTAATAACCTGTGCACAATTACCACACATATAATCAACAAAATAACCTCATTAATCTGCAGGGGTTTCAAACTCTCTTACACTTCAGTAAATCTCGCTAAAGAAACCTCACTTTTAATCAACAAAAAGACAAGAGTCCTCAAGGGGGGAATCAGATCTGCTCAAATCACTGTACGATTCTCAGTGGGGAAGTAAATTTAAGCTACACTAAAATGATTGCATCAAAGAGCCTATTTTAAGTTGCTCTACAATTTAAAATGTTTAAATATATATAGTACATGCAGTAATAATTAATGTTATTACTGTAATATATTCAAGGTCCTGTCACTAGCTAAATTACTTATTCACTACCGTAAATCTGAAAATTTTTGCTGTGGATAAATTTTTAGCAAAATTGCGAGTTCACTGCATTCGCAAAAATATTTTTCGTAAAAATATTTCAACAATAAGAAAATGTAAACAAAGCAGTGGTCATTCGCAAAATTTTGAAACGTAAAAATTAATCAACAGCATTTTGACCCAGATTCGCAAAATAAAATCGACGCAAAAATTTCCAGATTTACGGTAGTTGTTTGGAGTGATTTCAAATGTACAAATCTATCCATATCATTATCCCATTTTTCCATCTATGCATCTACCTGGGATGGTTTCAGGGCAGTGTGCCTTCTTCTAAAGTTTCAGATATAGTTTTCACTGTCATTCATGTAATACAGTAAGTGTAAATTTCACAAAAAAAAAAAAGGTCCACTAATTGCTGATTTTCAGAAGTTTAAGGGATCTTTGCCCCTTGATCCCTTCCTTTCCACTTATTAGACCCTATCCTTGATCCACTGGGGACCTTGGTGGTACCCAGAACACTAACCATTTAATAGTGACCCCTCTTAGGTAAAATCTTGGGTTAGCACCTGTCTTTATTTTATATTCATTCCAACACACAAATATAAAATGATACTGTGATAAGCTATATAGGTAAGATAAGCTAGCACTGTATCCTAAACAGTTAAACATTGAAGTTAATTTCAGAGCCACTGGTGCATTTAACTGAATTGATAATTTATAGGTACATTCAATGGTGACTGGAGAAAGGGAGTCTCAATTCAAAATGGTAAAATAACTAGAATGGGCTTTACGTCAGTAATGGCATTATTGAGCTTTATAAAGCTTTTTGTCACTCACTGTAATTCCGAGGTGAAAACGCAATGATTTTAAGAGTTCTGTAGATCCAATGAGAAACTCATTTAAATATTCCAGTAATTAACTGTTTGGAAACTAACAATTGGGACTTCAAAATCAGTTCAATACACCCATTGTCTTTGAGATGCTCATGTTTGAGATACCAAAGTTTGACTATACAGTAACTTATATCTGCAATCAGGACCCTAAATACTAAGGGTGTCAATGCAGAATTCATAATTACTTCATATAGGAGTGCATGATGAATTGAAAAGAAAGCTATGCTTCAGAGTTATTCATTAACTTTATGCTCTGTCCCTATATGTGAATTTCACAATTACAGTGGACCTTCAGATATCCAGATGCCAGATATCCGGATGCTTCCGTATCCGGACGATTTTTCATCGGAACGAAATTTTTTAAATTTTTAAATGTTATTTTGTCTTGTTTTACTGGTGATTCAGATATCCGGATGCTTCACATATCCGGACAAATTGACTGGGAACCAAAGCGTCCGGATAAATGAGGGTCCACTGTATAAATTTTGTTTAAGATTTTAAAAAAAAAATTGTAAAAGCTTTAAATGATTCAATACATATGAAATAAACTTCTCTTATTCCCATAGCCTCAGCAATCTGACACAGGAGTTATATACTGAATTGATGAACACTTCCTACAATAGTTTATTTACAATAGTTTCTTTGGTGGTCAAGTCCTGACAAATATTACACATCTAATTAAGTAATCTTAATCAGCAATCACTAATCAGTTGCACTGCATTGGCTGACAAATAATAGTACCTAAAGCGTGAGGGGTTGTTTTCATAGTATAGGCAGGTCACTTGCTTCAGAGCAAGTTAAATTAAAGGGGGGATTTACAAATTAAGAAAGTTACTGATAACACATAATTGGAAGAATAACCTCTCCCTTCAAATCATTTAAACTGTGTGAGAAATGATGTGTAGTAGGAAAGGAGAAAAGCACAAAGAAAACATATGACTGGACCAGGAATGGAACCCGGGACCAATATGATATCCACAGTCCGTAAAGCCCGAACTTCTACATTCCTCAATTTCCTCCCTCCTTAAACAGTCTTTGACCTCAAAGACACAAGTTCAACCCCTGGCAGGAATTACTAATTTACACATACACTGTAACCTGAACAAGGTCCCCCCACACTGGCCACCTAATGTAGTAGGAAAGGAGAAATGCACAAAGAAAACATATGGCTGGACTGGGAATCGAACCTGGGACCCCTGCATTACTAGTCAGGTGCTCTAACCACTGAGCTATCCAGGCCGATATCCACGGTCCGTAAAGCCAGAACTTCTTCAGATGAATGATTAGCTAGACCATTTTATTCAAATGCTCTTCAGTATTTTATCACATATCTTATATCCATTTTTTATGTCTCTGCTGTTAACCATGTACGTCAGAAATGGGAAAAGCTGTTATAATCTTTTTTGGTCAGTCTCTCCTTGTACAAGTCAATCTCAGAAATTTGATGGACATGTCAAAATATATGGGCAAGTCACTTTCATTGAAATGCTGATTAACCTCTTTCATTAGCCATTCAGAAGAAGCGAGACTTCAAAAATTTCTTCTTGTTGCAGACATACTACAATGCAAAATGGAATGTCGAATACAGATTATGACACCGAGTTGACTTACTTCCATCAAAAACCAATGACAGTGAATCCGCAGGTATCTATTAGGAAAAAGAATGCAATACTTTTCTCTTACGCAAAGTGACATTAAAATACGTCAAACATCTCATAACAATATGCCAAATACACAAACTGTGTACAGTAGTACACAACCATGGAGACTTCATCATATTCAGATAAAGAGTTCATGACTTCAGATAATGTAGTATGTACACCAAATATTAGTAGTGCCTAATGGTAAATGCTTTGTTTACAAGTCTCCTACCTGCATGGCTACTGATCAGCTGATTTGGATATTTAGATTGTCAAAACAATACTGATTAAAAACGTGTATAACCAAAATATTTACCTTATCCAGAGGTATTCCTCGAGTTCCCATATCTTCCAGTCTGTAAATTATCGAAATACAAGACAAAAAAAATTAAGAAACCAAGTAAACATTAATTTTGATTACCCGGTCCCATCATCATCACTTCCGTTAAATCAGGTGGGTAAGTAAACAATCAGTCATTCATGATTACGTTTAATCAAGACGCATACTGTTATTGAATGCATCTAAAGTAAATGTTTTACAAAATAAAGGCCTAAATAGTAAAATTTCGCTTCTATGGCGGCGAAGAAAAAAGTTAAGTACGGCAAGGGATTTTGGGTAATGATTTTTTTTTCTTCGCGATTCAAGTGCATGCGTGAAAAAGTGGTTCCGTTTCCGGTTTCATGTTGGAAAAAAAGGAAAACATCAACAACTTGAACAAACAAAAATTTTCTGCATGTGTACGACTTTTTAAATGAGGTATATGTAGTTTAATGGTTAGAACATTATAATGCAAAGCTAAAGTCTCTGTAGAATAAGTTTTTGCTTGTGTTGAGGTGCCGTTTGTCCATATTCTCAGCATATTGTAACTGTTTAGCAGTTTGGCTTCTTTTCTTGTATTAATAAATACATCCCACTCACTAAAAGCATATTATTGATTAATAACCCATATACGTTACTCCAAATTTTGATTATTTATTACCTTTTAACAATCTGTAACAACCCTGTATGGTCTGCAATCTGAATTAAAAAATTCACATTCCATGAGCATTCATGTTGGGAGACCTTTAAAATGTAAACTAAATATGAACTTTATGAGTCAAATATGTGTAGGACTCCAAATTGCGATGGAACTTTATAGTCTTATGGTCACACCAAAGTCCGACGGTCTTTGCTCTTAAAGGCCGAGATTTTTAACCGTACGGTTTTCTCAGGTAAGGGGAGGGACTAAATTTTACATGCGTGGCACCCCGAGGCATTGACGGTCGTGCAGACCGTGGGAAGCGCTAATCCCTATACACAAAGAGTATACACAGGAAGTCCATGGGTATTACCTGTACAGCTTGATGGCCTACTGTTCATCATAAAATTAGTAAAATTCGACATCACAAATAAAAAATATCGATAGTAATTAATGATAATTGTAAAATTTCGTAAATTCAGACTTATATCTAATATCAAACAAGAAGAAATCTCGCAGGTCGTATGTCACATGTACAGCAGCAACGACTTGAGTTCGTTGTAAAAAAAAATTATTATGAAATACAGGTATAATTTCAAAAGTAAAATACTCATCCTTGTCTGTCCCTTTCAAAATCTTAAAAACTATTCATAATTATCGTAAATATAGTAGCAATTAGAGCTTCGATCACGGTCAAATTGTAACAGTTACTTATTTCCGTTTGTATAAAAATTGCGTGGTCCTATTTTTAGTAAATGTACACTATCCTATTGTGAAAAATTTGTGATGATGGTTTTGAAAAGTAAAAATCACATACAAGTATGTGTGTAATTTTAGATTATAATTAAACAACTTAAAACAAAATATTAAATTATTGCTAACATATGTATTTCTTTCAAAACTATTTTTAACACCTGTGACCTTGAACGGAGGTAACAATGCAACCCACGAAGCAAGAAATGGTTATGAAAAGGAAAAGAAAGAAAGAAACTCTTAATACTTTAATACATGTCCAGGCGAAGTTGTTACTTATCAGATATTTTGTTTCCATCCTTACTATACATTACATGCAAAAAGTCTTACCAGATTATTTTTAGCTCACCTCAACGAAGTTGGGGGGAGCTTATGTGATACCCTCGGCGTCGGCGTCGGCGTCGGTGTCGGCGTCGGTGTCGGCGTCGGCGTCGGCGTCCCGGGTTAAGGTTAAGTTTTTTGGAGCAGTTTTCTTTTTAAGTACTTCTATGTCCTATATTGATTAGACATGCATGGAAGATGTTGCTAGTGTGTTTCATTGTACCAGTCAAAGTTTCAGATGCTGCAATTTCAGCAAAGGAATGACCAGGTTAATGTTTTTGGTGCAGGTTAACATTTTTGGTGCAGTTTTTGGTGTAGGTCTCATTTCCGAGTAACTATAAGCCCTATGTTGACCAAACTTACATGGATGATACATCTTAGGATGCATACTACCAGCCTTGCTTCGGATGCTGAATCTGACCTACATTTTCCGGTTGAGTGAACAGGTTAAAGTTTTTGGTGAAGGTTTCCTTTCGAAGATACTTTGAGCCCTATGATGACCAAACTTGCATGGATGGTACATCTTAGGATGTATTCTACTAGACTTGCTTCGGATGCTGAATCTGACCTACATTTTCCGGTTGAGTGAACAGGTTAAAGTTTTTGGTGCAGGTCTCATTTCCAAGTTACTATGAGACATATAATGACCAAACTTACATGGATGATACATCTTAAGATGCATACTACCAGCCTTGCTTCGGATGCTGAATCTGACCTACATTTTCCGGTTGAGTGAACAGGTTAAAGTTTTTGGTGAAGGTTTCATTTCGAAGATACTTTGAGCCCTATAATGACCAAACTTGCATGGATGGTACATCTTAGGATGTATTCTACTATACTTGCTTCGGATGCTGAATCTGACCTACATTTTCCGGTTGAGTGAACAGGTTAAAGTTTTTGGTGCAGGTTTCATTTCCAAGTTACTATGAGACATATAATGACCAAACTTACATGGATGAAACATCTAAGGATGCATACTACCTGCCTTGCTTCGGATGATGAATCTGACCTACATCGGGTTGAGTGAACAGGTTAAAGTTTTTGGTGAAGGTTTCATTTCGAAGATACTTTGAGCCCTATAATGACCAAACTTGCATGGATGGTACATCTTAGGATGTATTCTACTAGACTTGCTTCGGATGCTGAATCTGACCTACATTTTCCGGTTGAGTGAACAGGTTAAAGTTTTTGGTGCAGGTTTCATTTCCAAGTTACTATGAGACATATGATGACCAAACTTACATGGATGATACATCTCAGGATGCATACTACCAGCCTTGCTTCGGATGCTGAATCTGACCTACATTTTCCGGTTGAGTGAACAGGTTAAAGTTTTTGGTGAAGGTTTCATTTTCAAGGTACAGTGTACTATGAACCCTATAATGACTAAATTGCATGGATGGTACATCTTAGGATGCATACTACCAGACTTGCTTCGGATGCTGAATCTGACCTACATTTTCTGGACGAGTAAACAGGTTAAAGTTTATGGTGCAGGATTCATTTCCAAGTAACTTTGAGCCCTATAATGACCAAACTTGCATGGATGGTACATCTAAGGGTGCATTCTACTAGGCTGGCTTCGGATGCTGAATCTGACCTACATTTTCTGGATTAGTGGAAAGGTTAATTATTTTATACAGGTTTCATTTGCAAGTAACTTTAAGCCCTATGTTGACCAAACTTGCATGGATGATACATCTTAGGATGCACACTAATGGACTTGATTCAGATGCTGAATTCGACATACATTTTCCAGATAATAGACCTCGTAAAAGTTATGGGTGCAAGTCTATCACCAAGAAACTATAAGGCTTATATAAACCAGTTGCTTAAATGATGCATCAAGGGATGAAAACTCTCAATCTTGCTTCAGATGCTGGATTTTAATTACATTTTCATGATGAAGAACTAGTTTTTAGTTTTTATATAGGTCTATTCCAAAGTATCAAAATTGCATAAATTTTGCATTTTTGGATGTACACTTTTTGTTGGTTAATTGTGTGACTTAATTTGCCTTACTTAAAGACAACACACGTTGAGGTGAGCTCTGTAATCTCTGATTACCTATGTTTTCTCCTTTATTTTCATCGTAATTTTTCACCGCGTCTCAAAACAAGAATCATTCTAATTTTTACGAGTGAAAACAAGATTTCATTCACCTATGCAATTTTCATTAGTAAAAATATACACAATCTTGATTTATTTTATTAAAATACAATGAGATAAAAATTCATTTTTAATGACATGTTTGTAATACAAACAATAAATAATTATCAGGCTGAAATTGTTTGCATCGAAATGGCTTCTGTATTGCGATGGTAATTTAGCGGTAAACATCAGAAGACCGAAAGTTAATTTGATGGTGGCCATGCGTGTCAAACAAGGTGAAAGAGATATACACAGGGACTAGTAGCTAAATGTCAATCAATTTCAAGTACCCAATGATGGACCTTAATTTAGTTGATTGACAGGGGGATAGAGACCAGGTAAATCCGAGGGCGGTGCTTATTATCTCGGGCTTTAACCCCGATGCCATGACATGCCAAAGTGCGATGATGCGGAAAAAAATTAACGTTTATGATGTCATAGTGCTACTGCACCAAACTGCAATGCCACGGCATGCCAAGGTCTAAAATAAGCAATGCTCCAAGTTGCGACTAAAATAGTCACATTTGCGACCAAAAATTAGTTTTGCGACTTTAAATTAAAACTAAATCGCATTTTTGCGACTGAGAAAATTTGCACTGGTAACGTTCCATCATTTTATGATCAGGATTGAGATTTACGTTATCAAGATTTTCTATGAAGACAACGTTTGAAGATAAATACTTTAACACGCTTTACAAAGCGTGGACTTAGAGAACATAATGTTATGACAGCATGCTGTAATAGTGAAGTTTGATAGAACCAGAGACGTATAAGCATAACGTCCCTGAAATAATGAAATAAATGTCGTAAACATTCTAGAGTTTCTCTGACCTTGTTATTGAAGCATTTGGTCAATGGCTTGCATATCACAGACACAATTAAGTGTTTTGGCGGCATTGGTAACGACTGTGTTATGGGTAAGATACATAATAGTAAGAAAACATGACAAACAACTGGAAAAGTCCTGTCTTAACAACTGTCAAAGTTTATTTTCATTGTAGAATCAGATTTCTTGTGTTATTCTGTGTAATGTACAACCATAGGGGTGATTGTATCTATTAATAAAAATATTTCCTTCATCTAGCAAAGGATTTCTAGTCACAGTAAATAGTAATCTTTCAGTTGATTTAATAAAGATATAAAACATATACATTTGTATTGGTGATGGTTCCTTGTTTTATTGTTTTTCACATGTTTTCGTCATGGTGATTGAAATATTTGTTTATGGCGAACAGAAATTCTGAAATGGCGACCAAAAAATTTTTAGGTTGCCATTTAGCAACCTAAAAGTACATGCAACTTGGAGCACTAATAAGTATGAAAAAATATCATTATGCAAAATACTAACCCTAATCTCTTTGAATGATAGGTGCAAAACTATAATTGTTCAAAAAGTGTGTAACAACTATAATCTCGATATCATAGTTGGGTGCGAGACTAACCCCAGTCCCTGTACT